AGACCTCCCCCCTTCCACCAACCCTTGCTGTGCGTAAAAACTCCCAGGCTCGCAGAAGACAAAGGTGTAGTGCAGCTAGGAAGATAACTCCAAACTACTTTTGCTTTAGTCCCTTACCTTATGCCTGTTTGACATTGCCCTGTGTTTTGTGAAAGACCTCATTTTCGCTATGTGCCCTTGTGACGTTCTCAAGTGACATGTTCCCTCCTAGTTTCCCAGGGTGCTCTTGGTCAGGACCCTGACTTTGGGCCCCCCTGTCCAGGGGTGGTAGTCCGTGCTCCCCGCCCTGGTCTGGTCTGTGGTACCATGGTCCCTGCCACATGTTTTGCCAGAGCGTGATTCAGTTCCAGCTCCCTGTGGGTGTCCATGAACAGAGATAAGCACAGAGCCTCCTTCAGACTTAGTGCTGGAAGAGCAGAGTATCTGTGGAGAAAGCATGACTGGATATCTTTCTTATAGGCTAACTCTTTCCGATCCCCTCTTGGTCACCTGTTAGGCTTGACTTCCCCAGGCGCTCTAGCAGGTCCCTGTGCATCCATCTGCTTCTCCTTGGCAGCTTCCTTGTGTTTCCTGAGGGACCTCCCTGTTTAACCTGTAATGGCTTTTTATGTTCCTTTAGTGGTCATGTTTTTGTATTTTTTTCTGATTGTAGCTAGTTTTTTTGGTTAGACGGAAAGGGAGGGAAAATCCTAAAAACCAATGATTTTCTTTTGATCCAAAAAAAAAAAAAAGCTAAAGCTTTATTAGGATGATGTGAAGCTATCAGTTTGCAAGTCCATTGCACAAGGATGTTCTTTACCCTGTTATGTATGCTAAGGATCATGACCCTGAAGCCTTTGCTTTGAGGTGGGATGCATGGCACCGTTTTTTTGCCATCTGCCTTTCCTTCTAGTCAATCCCTGTGGAACTGAATGAGTATACTCATGCCCCAAACATCCCAATGACCAGCTTAATGTGTGTGGTGTTCCTACAGTAACACCCAAACCATGAGAGTGGAAATGTGCCTTGTTAGGGTTGGAAATGCATTTGTTTCCTGCAAAGACCATTTCAGATGTTACATTTTTCATTGTTCACATCGGCTGTTTTGTTTCCCTGCCCTCTTAGATCAAGGATACTTTCCTTAGGACATATACTGAAGCGATCCAGAATTACAACAAGAATGATGAGCGGAGCCATGCAGTGGATAACGTCCAGGAAAGTGTAAGTTTGAAATAGGATACTAAAAATGAATAAATAAAAAGACAAAAAGCATACATTTTGATGTGATCACAGAACATTAAGTGCTGATGGCTCAATCTGCAAGCTCTATTTTTTGCAAGCAAAGTGCAGCATTTAAGGTTTGATCTTGCTCCCCAATTCTGACTGCTTGCCGTGTCTGGTTGCTTGGCTGTTTTATGCGATAACAAGTCAGGTTTCCAAATGGTTGAGATGACATGTTGCCCTGGCAAAGTCAATGGGAGCTTTCCCATGTGCATCAGTGACACTAAGTTTTGTGTTAGTCTCTCTAGGGGGCCCTGTTTTGTTTGGCATGTTCATTCGATACCATGCCGAAGGCATCAGCACATACCACATGACGATATTTCAGAAACAATACTGCAGCAGCATCTTGTTAGTACACTCTTAATGCTGCTGCTTTGTCAAATCAGTTGAGATTACCTCTAACCTTGGGCCTGGCCTACGTTAGAAAACTTGTACCATTGGGATGGAGATGTCTTAAAACTCATGAGATAAACTCATATAAACCCAAAGTAGAGACTGATAAAACTGGTCTTAAGAAAAAGTATTTCGATCGAGATATTTGTATGAGAGTGTTAAATTTTAATGAACTAGGTGCACGCTGCTAATAAAAACAGGGCCTGTGGTACTTGCTAGTTGCTGGTCCCAGATCTTGAATTAGATTTAGAGCTGGTTTCGTCTTTAAGGACAGTGGAAGGTGGGCAGCTTTATTCTTAAGGGAATCTATCAGTAGGATTATAAAGAGTTATAAATGTGACCTGGATCAGACAGGAGTTTATAATATCGCATCCTATGTCATTGGTAAGCAGCAGCAGTTCTCTTCACAAAATACAATGAAAGATTTGTCACGGAGACCTAATGAGTTAAAGTCAAGGGGAGAGAAGGTGT